CGCAAGGCGAGGAAAAAGTTTTTCCCCATTTCCCCAGATTTTCTACGGAAACCCTCTCAACTTGCTCCGCCCGGGGCCAAGTTTTTCGTTTGCTTCAATTAATTTTCATTTGTTTACTAATCTAACAAATTAAACTAACGGTTAGGAAACGCTCACCCATCCCCATCCCCCAACCCCCGTCCACCGTCTAGCTATCTCATTCCGTCCGGGTCATGCCCTGTGAGAAGCGGAAATTGAAAGGATTTTTCGGGCCCCTCGGCACAGGAGTGGGTTTGACATCCAGCCATCGCCTGGGAGCGGGACAGGGCCTAAGTTGCGGTGGAAAAGTGGGTGGGGGAAATGGAAAATCGTTGCCTTGACACTGCCAATTGAAAGTTTAATCATCGTGGCCTCCATCGGCTGAGATGATTCGGGTTTCAGTATTTGTACGCACTGATTACAAAATTAATGGCTATTTATTAAAAACATGTTCAGTTCCAGCTCCAGGACTATGGAACTTTAATCCCTGAGCCATAGTCCTTGCTTAAGTGAGCTCTGATGCATGATATCCATCTGGAGAGTGTCCTGGCCATCTGACCTAATCAATTCCTGCTTCCTCTCGTCCCTGCTTAAGTTCCCCCAACTCCTCCGGCCAACAAGTTGAATCATCAGATTTCTTATCAATTTCTGTTGCCATTTCCCATTTCTGTTGACCCTTACTGGGTGTCGTGTCCCATCCCCATTATCCCGTATTCTTCTATTTCCCGTTCCCATAATTTTCCTTTTTTGCTATTTTTACTTTTCCTTTCGCTGCCCGAGCGGAACTGATTTCGGTGTGTATTTTATGCTAATTAATTTTTCACAGAAAAAATACAAGAATACGACATTCCGATGGAGAAACTGGTGGGGATTTTGTCTGGTATTTCGTGTGGAGGTGGATCCGAAACATGAATATTAAAGTTGTGTCATCACTTGATGACACTTATTTAAAATTTCAATTATCTTTTAGATTAAAAGAAAGAAAACCCAAATATTCTCCAACTAAAATCAAATGGTTGTTGGAAACTTGAAACCATTTGAAGATATCCTCATACCAGCTGTCACCTTCCGGCCATCCCACTCACCTTTCCTCTCAAGCCTACCCTACTCCAAAAGCGAAATCTTTGATAAATGCCCAAATAATTGCCCGTTCAGGCTAAGCGTGATTAGGATCTTGGACTTCCACTTCCCGCCCAGAAATATAAGAGAAAAAATGGCAAAAACTTTTTCAGGTTTCATTCTGGCAGGCCTGGAGACTGGGAGACTGGAGACGACTGGCCCTGGTCGCGTCAAATGTCGCGCCGAAAATTATACCTTTTGCCAGGAAGAACCTAAAAAATGGCCAAATAGCTGTGTATAGTACTATGGACCCACTCTCGTTGCCATTATTCTGGTTCTTGTTGTTTTTGTTGTTGTGTGGTGCGGTGAGGCAAACAACTTGGGCATTTTTCCGGCTTTTCTTTGGCGCTGACGTTGATGTTGGCTTCGGCGCTTCTTGTTCTTGTTGCGTTGTTGTATTGTTGTTGTGCATGCAACCACGCCCCTGACTGAATGCCTTTTCAATGCCTCTGGATTTTGCCTACACAGGAAGAAAAGTTCGGGTGGCATTGCCTGTATAATTTATTCATAAACTGAGTCCTTGTTTCGGGTGCAAGTGCAACTTTTTTCGCTTTTCGCAGTACATCCCTTTACCCCTTTGGGCTGACTCTGCCACTGCCTCGTTTTATGTATTCAGTCTCAGTGCGCTCACTTGACTTTAATTCTTTTTTCACACGCCCACTTCGCGGGAAAACTGGGCAGGGGGAGTGGCAGGCAGCAGGGTGGCAAGTGCAATTTCCTAACGGCTCTTAAGCTCCACAACAACGAGAACAAAACTATATGCTGCGGCGGGGAGCGGAAAACCACTGAAACATGGCCGGGCTTTGCATTCAGATGAGCATGTCAGCCGAAAGGTGGGCCCCCCTTCCATCCACCCACTCCGCCAGACCAACATTGAGTTGTAATTGCTCAACATGCCACACATTTCTACAATTTTATGTAGATTTAATAGCTTCCTGACGCTCCCAGGCAAATGGCACTGAATCCCGAGCCCGATCCCGAGCTCCTCAACCAGGATCCTACAGCTTGTCTCGCATTTCATTCGCTTGCGTGACATTGCATTTGAGCCCGTGTCCTGAGATTCCTCAGATATGTGCCACAAATTGCTTGGGATTGGTCACTGGCCTCCGCCTTCGAAGGCGGCCCTTTTCTTTAATTGATTTAAAACAAAGTTGGACCCGGTAACACGTGTCGGGGAGTGTTGCGGCCAATCGCGTGGAAAAGTTGCCTCAAATGGTAGGAAGAGCCTTTCGCGAGCCCGAAACCTCCAACTTCCGGCACTTGATTTGACATGTTAATTGGCAGTCGGGCAGGTACAACCATCCTGCCAAGTTGACCTCAGAATTTGTGATAATGTCTGCCGCTAACATACTTTTTATTCAGGTCGTATATGGCCTTAGGTCTTTACTTTCCGAAATATTTTCCTTTCATGAAATATTTCAAGAAATTCCTCACATCTTAACTGGACAATTACCCACTAATTTATGACAATTTCTTTGACCCAAATATGTATCAAATATTCAAGTTTTTAAAATATCCAACTTCCAAGCCTTAAATACCGAAAATTCTCTACTATTTCCCTTAAGCCTTTGAATAGGGTTTCGGGCAGGGGAGATGCCCAAACTCTTGCTGAAAATATCCTTAAACATCTCATTTGGCATTTCCTTTGAACATCCCTAGCTGCTGGCTCGTACATCAAATATGAATTCGTTCGGCATTCCGAGCCATTTGGAGCTGCTACTGCTGCAGCCTCCTTCAGAGCTGCTGCTATTAAGTATCTGTCAGATACTTTGGTGCACATTTTGCATCTTGCTTGTAATTGTATGCAGTTCAGTGCAGCAAGTTTCGCATATGAAATTGCCTTCGCCCCGCCCGCCTCGCCCCGTGGCGCCCCTTTTTTGCACTTTCCCAAAGCATTTGATGGAGTGCTCCAGTGGAGAGTAGCAGGAAAGTGGAGCGCCCTGCAAGTAGTTTGCCAAGAATTGTCGCGGATTGCTGATGAGGCTGAATGCGGGATTTTGAGCTGCAGCACCAGGGTGTGGCAGTTGCAGTGTGGCAGTGTGGCGAGGGGTGGACATTTGGTTGCCCAGCAATTGACGGTTGTGGCTGCAATTTTATATATTTCCCGGATCCGTGTCCTGCTTTCCTCCACCGGATCCGGTCCCTTCTCTCCTGTCAGCTTTCGCTTTCCGCTCACCGAGCTGAAAGCCAAAGCAAACCAGCAATCCGAAAGCTACAGCCGCAGCTGCAGCTCAGTATCCGCCTCGCATCCTCGCATCCGTATCTGAAGCCCTGGCTTTGACTTTGGCTTTGGCTTTGGCTGCATCTGCAGCCAGCCACTGAGCATTTGTATCTGTATCTGGGCCCTGGCTCGGTGCGTTTGTTTATGGTTTTATTTGTGCACGGCTTAACTGGGCGCACAGACTCCTCCGCCTCTACCTCCACCCCCTGCTCAGATTGTTTGTCTTTTGTGGCTGTGAATGCATTTTTCAAACAAATTGCAAATCATTGCCTAACAATAGTGCCTCTGTGATTCCACTTCACTTTGCTTTATCTCCGGCCAAGTCACTCTCCAAGCCCACACGAACATGGTACACCCATCTGGGCCGCATCCTGGGCATGTGTGTGCCTCTGGGATGCGAGTCTCCGACCGCAATGACAGTGATTTAGTTTTTGGCTGCGACTCTATTACATTGGGGGTTTCGGTCGGAAAGGGGGGACACCCGGGCCCCAAGGTTAATGTTAAATTCTCAACTTTCGACCCTGGCCATTTGTCAGCGCGGGAGAGAGTGGCCCGGAAAGTTGCACAAACTTAAATTACGTTTAAAACCCCAGACAGGACACACTTTTTCGACCGGATCTATTTACGTTTGCGATTTGTCAAATGGAATTTCGCTTGCTGTCTTTTTTCTGGCCTTTTTCTTTTGGCCAAGTTAATTTGCAGACATTTAGCCAAGAATACAGAATCGACAAAAAAGATGAGAAACAACTCTGAAAGCAAGAGTGGAAAAGGATACCCACAGCCAGAGTTGGAATTCATTTTATTGAATTAAATTCCGAGAAATGTCCCAGGGATTTGTTTGTCTTTGTTTGCTGCTACCACTGCCGCTGTTGTTTGTTTGTTTGTTTGTCTGCTCCGGGAGTCCTTCGTCCCCAGAAAAGTTTTCCAGCTCGAGGAGCGAGGAATCCGCTGACGTTGTTTAGCCCACTTAGCTGGGCAATATGTATAAGAACGTATAAGTGTACATCATAGAAACATGATTTCTGGCGTTTTATTGTGTTTGTTTGTTTACTGCTTCCACTTTCGACTTTCTCCGACTGTTTGCGCGTCCATTGACCCACAAAGAAAGCAACACACAACGTCGCAAGCTTCCAGCAGAATATTTCAAGCGTTTTTCACTAAAAACCCGCAGAGTCAGCCTCCTTTGAAGTTTTTAAAGAACAAAAAAAATGTTTTATTCGGAAATTAGATTTTTTTTTAAGGTGAGGGGGGATAAAGAGTTGGAAAATCAATAGTTTGATCAGAAAAGAAAATACTCGAAGGACCTTTTAAAATAATATTTTTTTGAGTGGTTGGTTTGAATTTAATTTTCAAAAAAAAAATAATTTTTCAAAATACACAAATTCTATTCACTTTTGATATTTATTTTTCAGCTTAAGGCAGCACCCAGTGTAATTAAATAAAAACAAGCACATATTGTTTAAGCTTTCCAAATGTCACTACATTTTTTTTTTATTTATCATTTTATATTTTCTTTTTTAATTGACTTTAAAGTTAAATGTCCACTTTTATTTTTGTTTTAAAAAGTTTGCCCCTAAAAGCATGCTGCAAAAATGCAAAACTCTTCTGCTGATGTTTTTCTTTCACGAAACTCGTAACTTACTTGGCTGTTTTAATTATTTTTTGGTCAGAACGATGATTGTTCTACTTTACACGGACACTGATATATCCTTGTTAGTTTTCAGGGGAAATTGTTGCAATAAAATTAAGTCGCGACTTGTTGCACTGTGGCACGCACACCGAAATCGCACATTTGCACCGAAGGAGCTTGGCGTGCTGTGTCCTGAGCTGGCTTGGCAGTGTCCTGTGTGATGGACGAGCTGGAAATCGCGAGCGAGCGACAAGGGACGACTTGAGGGCGACTTGGGAGCGACTCTGCGACGGAGGAGCGGTTCTGCGGCAGAGCAACACGTTGTTGACACAAAGACAGCCTAACGAAGACTAATGATTCGCACGCACCCAGGACTGACAACGGCGGCAGCGAGGCAGCGAAACACCGAAGCAGCCAGCAGCGGCAGCAGCAGCACTCACCAGCGAAACGAGTGGGAACGAATCAAGTCTGCTAACAAGGCATCGGCAGCACTCTCTCTTCGCTTTCGCTCCGCACTTTCTCCCACCCCCGCATTTCGAATTGAGCTATCAACTGTTCCATTAGCCATTCGTTTCGCTCTTTCGCTTTCAGTTTCCGGCCGCCGCTTGTTCTACTTTCAACCCGACCATGCGCAGCTCTCGCGGGCTCTCTTCTCCCACGCTCTGCCGTTCAACCGGCCTTTCAATCGCCCTTTCAACCGCCTCTCAGCACTCTCGTTCGGTCTCTTAGCTGCACTTGTTGTTCCTGCTCCCAGGCCGTCCGTTGTTCCACTTCCGTTCCACTCCCACTCGTTCCGTAGCGCTTAGCAGGCTCTGTGACTGTTCGCAGGACCCTTCTGTTGTGCTGTTGTTCTTGTTGCTCCTGCTTGTTTCGAGGATTTTGTTGTGGTGTGCGCAACAGGTTCACCCCGCCCCCCTTGGCCGACCGCTTTCCACGCCATCGCCACCCCCCTCTTCTAGCCTATTTTCATTGCTTTGGTTTGCTTTGCTTTGTTGGTGTTTTGCTGTTGTTGGGCCTGAAGAAGGTCCTTGTGTATTTATTTGCAGGCTTTTCGCTTGCCGGTTGTTTTTTATGGCATATGCAAATACGTGTGAAAACTCCCAGTCCCCGGGTCAGTTCTACGAATTCTAGATACCCGATAACGAATGGTTTAGAAGTGTTTTTTATACCCTTGCAGAGGGTATTATAATTTTGGTCAAAAGTGTGCAACGCAGTGAAGGAGACATCTCCGACCCTATAAAGTATATATATTCTTGATCAGGATCACCTCCTGAGTTGATATGAGCATGTCCGTCTGTCCGTCTGTCCGTCTGTCCGTCTGTCTGTCCGTCTGTCTGTTTCTACGCGAACTAGTCTCTCAGTTTTAAAGCTATCGTCTTGAAACTTTGCACACACCCTTCTTTCCTTTGCACGCAGTATATAAGTCGGAACGGCCCGGATCGGCCGACTATATCCTATAGCTGCCATATAACTGATTGATCGGAAATGGTATAACTTTGGTGTTTTTAGAGTTAGAGAGTTCAAATTTGACATGTGAGCTATTTTTGGCAAAACATTACGACATGCCAAATTTCATAAGGATCGGCCGACTATATCCTATAGCTGCCATATAACTGAACGATCGGAAATGACCCAACTTTCGTGTTTTTGAAGATAGAAAGCTGGAACTTAGTACAGATTTAATTCTTGGTCAGTTGATCCAACCTACCAAATTTCATTAGGATCGGCCGACTATATCCCATAGCTGCCATATAACTGAACGATCGGAAATGGTATTTGGTAGAAATATCAACTTTCGTATTTTTGAAGATAGAAGTTTGGGACTTTTTTTAGATTTTGTATTGTAATAAATTGGATTATATATTCCTATTCCCATAAGGATCGGCCAACTATATCCGATGTTTGCGATATATATCCGGTTTTAACTGCAAGGGTATATAAACTTCGGCTCCGCCCGAAGTTAGCTTTCCTTTCTTGTTTTAGATTAGAGAAAGGTTTTCAGAGAAAATTTAATATATTTTTGGAACATTTCAAATTAATTTATTAAGTTTGAAATAAGTAAATAATAAAATATAATACATTTAAATGATAAATAATGAAACCCATTAAGAAAATGTAAAAAATTCAGTTTTAAAAGTTTTATATTCTTTGTTTAAAATAAAGCCCTTTCTAATTATTTGAAAAATTTAATTTGAAAACTTTAAAAAACTAAGGTCTCCAACACTAGTATTTTTAAAACAAACAAACCCTATAATTTTTAATTTTAGGTTTGAAATGACCAAACATATTTAAGGCACGGCTTTATGACGTTTTTTTATGGATAAAATTACCTGTTACGTTCTCTATTCCGAAAGCAGTATACCTGGGCACTAAAGCCTTAAAAAGTTTTGAGCCAGCTTTGACTTTCACTCGGCTGCCGCCTACCTGGCAGCTCCCACCTTCAATGCTTCTTTCTAGCTAGCTGGGCTGGCTATAAATAAATTTGCATATAATTGTTTGCATGTTGAGTGCCTTTTAATTGATTTTATTGGTTTTACAAGCACTGCACACGGCAGAAAGCAGTAAAACAAACGCAGCGAAAACAACAACAGAACAAAAGTCCTTATGTGGCACTGGTATAGTATGTGGTATGTAAAGGCATATCTCTCGGTATATATCGCTTAAGCTCTTATTCGCCGCTTTTATCTCCGTAGCTGCATCTGCATGAGCACCTGCATTTGTATCTGTACTATTTGTATCTGAGCCTGTGGCACAATTTATTTACTTGTAAGCACTTTTGGCCCAGCAGCCAACCGAGTTCATATATGAATTAACAATGCTTCATATCTCAATCTGACTTTGTTTGTCTCTCTGTGTGGGTTCTGTATAAATTATGCAATTTATAAGCTGCATATTTTATAGGTCGCAGGTCGTAAATTGTTACGCCCACCTCCCACCACCCGCTATCTTTGGTAATAAATGCAAAATCGATCCACAATTTTTGCTGCATTATTGCGTTTGGCTTAAATCAATTTTTGCTGCAATTTAAACAGGCATATTGGACAAAGTAAATTAACTAAATTTGCTTTAATTTCCATTGAGATGGGAATACCATTTCCCTTTATACATATATACACTTTTTTCAAACAAGTTTGTAACATTTTCCATTTGTAATCCAAAACTAAAACCTAATTTGGAACAAGCAAATAGACTGATCTGTAATTAAGCACAACTAAATTATGCCAAAAAGAAAAACTGTGAAATCGTTGCCACGGATATATAATTTTCCCCTTACCCAACACCACCCTCTTCACACCGTCATCTGTCAGGAGCTAATCAAAAACTGCGATTCATGGTCGCAGCAAGGCACAGGCTGGAGGGGTGGAAATAAAGCAAACGACTTCTGCCACTGGCAGACACTAGAGGGAGCCACTATACAGAGGGCGGTGGAAACGGGGCGTGGCAGGGCTAAGGAGAGTTTTCGTACCTCTCGAAGTCCAGACAAAATACTGGGACTCTACACTTCTCCAAGTGTTTTTTTCTAAATTAAGGATAAGGGTGTCCCAAGACTCAGAAAAGTAAAATGTCTAAATATTTTTATTAGTTTTATAAATAATAAAACAAGAAATTTAACATAATAATAAATATCATGAAAAACAAATGATAAAATCCCATGACAATAGTTGTAAGTAAAGCCCGAAAGGACTTTTCCAGTGTCCTCGGAAACTCATCAAGAGCCAAGGACCAAGCAATAGCAATGGGTGTCAATGACTGGTCGGACAGTCGGAAGGTGATAATAATCAGTTGGCAGTTTTAACAAGACACACGCACGCCTCAAACACTCTGGCAAACACCCAACATACACACACTATTCCGAAAAAAAACTGTCGACGCCACCGCCATGGTAATCCATCTTCACAATGGTTGCCCCGGACACCAGTTATCTGTCTGCCCGCCCACTGCCCCCCACTTGAGGCACCACTCCACCGGATGGGTAGTAAATCCAGCCGTAAAGAAACTAGATACAAATATCTTTAGTCCGGCTGTGAGCCTTTGGCCTTTGCTGTAATTATAGTGGCAGCTTATTCCCATCACCAGGCTCCCCGAAAGCCCAGCTTCCAGCGCCCAGTGCCCAACTCCCATCTACCATCTCCAAGTTTCCATCTCCCATCCCTGCCATTGACAAGTCCAAGTTGGTCTCAGATAGAGAGTGAACATATCAAGTGAACTGCCCAAAACACACAGGCTCATAAAACGCACACAGTGAAGGTTATGCACAGGGAGAAAAATATGAAAAAATAAATGGGATTTGTGTTTAAATTTTTATAAGAATTTGTGTTTTCAGGTTAATAACTCAGACATAAAACGCTCATTACTAACCAAAGCTAAAAACTATTTGGTATAATAATTTATATTTCTTTATAAAATAATTTTTCTCTCAGTGCCTTTAGTGACGAGTGGTGAGAGCTAGTCGTAAAGCAAGTCACATGTGTTCTCCATGTTCGTAAAGTTGATTCATTCATTGCTGAAATTTATATGGCCCCGGACATATAGCACGGATTTTCAGCGGTTCAGCAGCAGAACTTTGATGCTGATGCGGATCCAAATACGAATAAGGATGTGAATGCGAATACGGATGGAGACTCGGATGAGGATGCGGATGCGGATGTGGATGTGGATGATGATGATATGCCGCTGACAATGGCAACGACACTGGCAGCTAATACCGCCCGCTCGCTGAGCGACGCCGCGTGGGGCATCCTTGTTTGCAGCCGAGGCGGATGATTTATCTCGCAGCTGGCTGGGACAGGAGTGTCCTGCCATTGGCTCGAGGCTCACTGTACGCTTCCAATTAGATGGTCATATGCTGCGACCGGGCCAGGCCAAATGGGTCCGGGTGCTAGGCAGAAACCAGGCCACCTCGAGCAATTTAAGACGAAAGCGCTCTGCGGGAAACTCAATCGCAGATCTCCCCTCGAAGTTACTTTCAAGCAATTGGTGTTGGCCAAAATAAATGGGTGTTCATTGAAGCAATAGAATCAAATACGCTTCGAGTATTTACTGGCTGGGATTGGTTTACTTTGGTCTTTTAAAGGAGACTATTAAATGGCAGGGAATTAAATAGACGAGCCCTGCTTTCTAGACATTTGTGCCTTTAATTTTAAGATCTTGAACAGCCAGGTCTCAATAGGATTCTAGTTCTTGGCCATCTTCTTCTTCCGTCTCTTGATAAACTTGGCCAACTCCTCCTCCGTGGGCCGTCGTTCACTGTACTTCGCCACCCAGGCTTCCGCCATCTTGTTGAACTTCTTCGGATCATTCCGGTACTCTCCGGCCATTTCCATGTGCCAGGCGTTCTCCGGCTGGGGATCGTTGATGGTGGCCAGCAGGACCTGCAAGACCTGATCTATGCGAGTGGTGGGCAGCCAGTGCTCGACCTCCAGGATGGGCACACACAGCTGGCCACGTTCGTTCACGTTGAGGTGATAGATGCGCGTATCGACATGGATTCGGGGCGGTTTGAAGGGATAGTCCTGGGGAAAGTCTATTTGGATCTTGTAGGCCCCCTTGTCGTAGGGCGGGGTGTTGGGCATCAGCAGGCCGTACCACTTGAAGATGTTGTCTGGCTCCACCTCCAGGTTCCGGAACTGCAGATTCGCCTTGTCCTCCAGCATAACGGCCAGCTCGCGGTTGAGCCGCTTGGGCCCCTCCATGAGGAGCTCCTCCTTCTTGGCCATGACGGATGTCCCTTTTTACTCCTCCGGTTGTGGTTGTGTTTGAATCTGTGTAGTGTTTCGGGGGATTTTGTTAACGTTATTTGCAGCGACTGCCGAGAGTCAGTAAGGGAAGCACTCAAACAAAAAAGGAGTAAAAAGTGGAGGATTCTTTAATTTTCTGAACAATTCCTTTAAATCAAAATTGGAGTTAGGAATAAACTTGTACTTGGTTTATATATAAAGCCTCCTCGTATTCCCTTGGAAACTTCCCTTGGAATTTCTTCAAGTGAACGGGAATAGGAATGCCATTTCGAATAGTGACGACCCTACGAAGAGGAGCATGGACTGTGGGTGAATTCCAATGCATGGCTAAAATCCTTTCACATTGACATTAATCCCCGAAATAGCCGGCAAAAGTCCGGCTGACGTCGACAGGCTCTGACAGCAGCACATTAGGATCAAACGTGGTTGGTTGGAAGCCAGCTCTCCGGAGCACTGGAGGTGGATGTGGAGATTTGGCTCGGCTTGAGGCTACAGACTGCAGCCCGGAGCACTGGCAATACAAATTCCGGGCCATCCCAATGAAAATCTGTTTCATTTTGGGCTGTTTGCCTGTCACTTCCTCTCTTCACTCATAACGCCCTTCAGTGTTTTTATTTTCTCTCGGTTCCTTGATATTTATAGCGGAGATTTCATGACCTCGGGCAGCGTCTGAGTGGCAGGACTGGTCGAACAGAATGATCCACGCTGGCAGATGATGAGATTGCTATTGACATTTTAGTTTTCAATTAGTTGAACGAACAGAGCACTACGTGGTACGTACACCTCCCCAACTCCACTCAGGACTTATTCCCTCGGGAAACCGTTGCTTGTGCTCCTCATAAATATGTAAAACCCTGCCAAAAAGAATCCAATAAAAATCCTGTCATGGGATGGTAGCATCCTCGGTCTTATTTACCTTGTACATGGCAGATAACAAAAACACAAAAATTAAATATCAAAATGAATGCGAAAACAGTGCTCAGTGCGTGTGTGTAATTATTTATAAGCAGAGATGCCATCGTCATGTAAATGAAACCAGGACTCCCAGGGACATGGCCTGGCCTGGCCCCCGAAACCGAGGATCTCCATGGCAACGTGAATGCCAGCTAAGCATAATTATTTCATCTCCTTGTATGCGTACAACTGTGAGTACAGGACTCTCGCCAGTGTGATTGATAGCTAAAGGTTCCCTGGTCATGTCCTTTGCCATGTCATTTGCAAAGCGCCAACGTCTCTGATGGCTTTGAAGTATTTTATGATTTGCTCATCTTATGTTACATTTAAGTAATGTTTTCGTTCAGCATTCAGGAGTAATTATTGAAACTGCAGTTTAATTCAAGTCTATTACTTTAATTAAGAGGCTAAGAACACTTTCCTTTGCGAATGGAATGTATTTTTCTTAAGGGGGAGGAGGCTTAGCTACTTGACTTCCCCTCCAGATTGCTGTCTAATCAATAGTTTCCTCATAGTTGGCTTTCCTTATTTAGCATCCGATTCGGGAAATGCCAAAGTTTGGTGCACACTGAGCCCGACATGATAGATGCCTCCTCATCAGAAGGCAGGACGAGGAAAAAAAATTGGTGGCAGCCAAGGCGTCTGACAGCTCAGCGGGTTGCAAAGCGTCCAGAAGGGGGGCTGGGTGGAAGCCTGGTATCCTGGCCCACCCATCAGTAGCGTTGTCGCCGGCATACTTTTAGCATAAACAGCCGGAAGCGGAAATGTTGATGACGCTCGCCGTTCGCTCTGCGTTTGTGTCTATGAGGATGAGTGTGTGTGTGTGGGTGACGGCCTGGATTCCCAGGATCTGGAGCCCTGGCTCCACCCCCCCTCGACTGACATCCACCGCATTTGTGTCATTTGTTTAGCTGTCATTGCCGGCGTATTGCCGCTGACAGCTCTCAGTTCGTTTGGAGCGATGGCGCCAAGATTCAAACGGGGATCTGAAAGGGGCTGGACTTGACGGCGTGGCTGGGCTGGAGCATAGAAAGGGGGTCCTGCCACTTTCGCATTTCTATGAGAAATCGCCCAAAAATTAGCCGTCGCCGCATTAAATCTAATCTGATCCGATTTTCTATTACCAATTGCCTTCTGCCTGCTGTGAGGCTTTCCTTTTGTCCTTCGTCTTCCATCACGTATCCTTTATTTGGCCATGTGTTGGTATTGGTGTTGGTGTGTTTTATCTTAATTTGCCTGAGGATGTGTTGCCTATACGTGTGTTTGTGCGGATTTGTGCAATTTAATCTTTTTATCGTACTTTAACACTTTGCCTCGGGTTTCGTTGACTTCACGCCTTTGTTCTCCTCTTTTTGGTCCTTGGTCCTTCATTAGCCTCAAAAACAAAAAAAAAAAAAAACGGGGAGCAGGGACACAGGATACCAACAAGAGCGCGCGAAAAATGTCGCGTGTTGATTTGTCCCTTTTCCCCTGCTGGCTTTTTGTTGTGACTTCCGCCGCCTGTCATCGACCTTTTTGGGCCTCCTTGTCAGGATCCGGTATATCGCTTACCGCTACCGCTCACCGCCCCCCGGGGCTTAGAAAGGGATAGATGCGGGGACAGCGATAGAGCCTGATATATGGCGCGATTAACATGAAAGGTTCCTAATTGATTCGGGCAGGCTAAGCTTGACCAGGGCGGCGTGGCGGACCGGGCTGGGATGGGGCGGGCTTATCGACAAGTGTCAATTTCCCGATTCGCGAATTGTCAGTTGACATTTGGCCAGAAAGCGATTGTCGCTCGCGTTGCTTAAAGCTCAAATTAATTAAGCGGGGCTTATCAAAAAGCAAATGGAAACAGGAGCCGGAGCCGGAGCCGAGCACACACGCAATGTGTGTACATGCAACAGATTATTTATGCTTTCAGTGGATGCACGACATACTCGGCGTCATCCTCTGACGCCACCGACGAGGTTGCCATAGTACGAGCATAATATTAAATTACGGAAAGTAAATAAAAGCCAACCCGAAGTCAACCGCATATGCACTCATACTTCGTACTTCAGAGTCCTGTCACTCTGAGAATCGGAAGTTTCCAGACAGGCGGCAATTAATAATAAGGATATCTCTTATTAAATGGTTTTTAATCTCAGAGAATGTTTTTTTTAGGTTTTAATTTAAAGCATTTTTAATAGAACACCCTTTAAGGTTCGTGGAACAAGCCAGTACCAAGATTCGAGCACTTCTGCTTGACTTGCCTGGTTTTCCAATGCGGCTTAATTTGGTGCTGGCTTTGTCATAAATAATGCAAGGCAAACGTTGTACATTCTCTCTCCTCCTGGCTCCTGATAGTGGGCCTTCCCTCCAATCCTTGCCCCCAACCTCTCGGCAACCCAATTCCTGCCGCCTTCGCCAGCTCAGAAGCAATCCTGCTGCCATCGTTGTCGTTCGCTCGCGGGCATTACTCAATATGCAGTTAGCTGTGCTCAAACGTGCTGCAATTACGGCTCCAACCTGAGCCTCCACCCGGCCACGCCCACTGCCGGCTACCCGTAGGACGCAGGACGGCTTTTTGCAGTGAGCAACGTCATTTGTACTTAATGACTTTTCAACGTCGTGTGCGTGCAACGTCATTTTCTTGAGGCTTTTTCGGCTGCTGCTGCTGCTGCTCGTTCGTTGTTCGCTCATTTGCTTATTGCATTAAAGGGGAGAAGGCATGAAGGGATGATGGGGACTGTGGGGCATAAATAAAGGACGCACGCAGCCCACGAGGCGGATACGTGATGCGTGCCTTGCACCTGTTGCAACCGCCGTTTTGTGCCTCCGTTTAATTGCAAAACAAGTTGCGGCTTCGCTCCGGTATGCATGCCCGTGTAACATGCACCCCCGCCACACAGTCTTGGGGGTAAGTAAGTGAGTCTTATATTTCAGAGCACTCTCAGACATCAAAGTGATTCCCGGGAAAATCCCAAAAGGAAAATGGGTCGAAACATGAAAAAAATCGCTGCTTATGCAATGCAGGCTGCTTATCTGAAAATGTTTAATAAAACACATCTGCCCTTCAAGGAAGAAGCACACACAGCAGAGCAGAGTGGCAAAATTATTATATATGGGCCACGACGGGATTTCTGGGCCCAAAAATGATTTAAAATATTTCTTTTGACAGCTCGCCCCAAGTTGTGCTCCGATTTAATCGCCCTATAAACGGACAGGCGGGTGGGAGGGGGCGGGCCATTAATAACACAACAAGTAAAAAAGAACAGCCCTGAAAAAAATGAAATTCAATAAGCGTGATTTGGATAGCCAAACGAACTGAACTGAAGTGAACCAAACTGAACCGCATCGAATCGGGGGCGAGGAATCATCATCCGAGCAACTGGTCAAAGCATTCAACCAACCCTCGGTGATTTTCCCTTTTATTCCTGGGAGGGTCAGGGAGCGAGATGAAGGGGGGATTTTTGGCAAAATATTTAAGGCGCTGGCCCGGGGATGCCAATAAATCAAAGGGCCCGAAAAAGGTTGCCCCCAAACAATGCGCGGCATCTGTAGAATTCTCCACCGGACCACCACCACACTCAGATACACATCAAATGTGTGTTTTGTGTTTGTTATTTGTTGTCGGTTGTTTGGTTGCTCGGTGTGTTGTTGTTAGGCACACACTTGGCGAGGTGGTGAAGCCTTTTTTGAGTTTGTTTGCGACTTCCGGGAACAACTTTGAAGCAATTAAGTTCTCAACTTCTTCAACTTTTATTCGATATTCGAAGGGTTGGCCACGAAATCCAGGAAATATGCTTTTGGCAATCAGCTTCTCTGGAAAGAAACTCAAGTCATATGTGATCCTTTTAAAAGCTATCGGTTTCCCATAAAAATTGCCTTCAATGAAACCACAAATTTAGTCAAGGATATCCTGCAAAATGCAACACAGCTCGATTAATTTCAGGAGTCTGTTGAAAACATGTTCATAATTGGTTTTACACACACTTACTCCTGTTGCACTCTCCTGCCAGGATGCACATGCAAAAACAGCCAAACAAAGTTTTCAACCCAGTTTAATAAAATTAATGGCCTCACTTTTATCCAGAAAAGTGTCGGGATTTTCACGCTGACCACTGCAGCCCGCTGGGCTGGCGAGTAAAA